AAACGATAATATTGTTAACAATAACGATAATTATAATAATAACAATATTAATAAGAAGAATAATAACCATAATAATAAAAATAACAATAAAAGCTATTATAAGTTTAATAATGATAATAACGTTAATAACGATAATAACGACAGAGAAAAAACAGAAAAAGACAGACAGAAAATAAAAGACAAAAAAAGATAAAGATGTTAACAACGATAATATCGATAATTATAACATCTATAATAATAATAATGAAAATAGCGATAATATTATTAATATTAACGTCAATAATTATAATATCGATTAAAATGGTACTAACGATAGTAATAACAATAAAAGTAATAATAACGATAATAACGATATTAACTCTAGTAATAACGATAATACCAATAATAACGATATTAACGAAATTAACGATAATAACGGTAATGACGATCATAACGCTAATAACGTTAATTACAATAATAATGCCGACAATAATAATAATAGCGAAAGTATCGACAATAACAATAATATCGTAAAAATAAAGATAATAATAATAATAACAATATTAAAAATAATAATAATAATAAAAATAATTAAAATAACGGTAGAAACGATTATAACGTTAACTAAAAAACGTTAATAACGATTGTAACGATAAACCTATTAAAGTAACGATAAAAACGATTATAAGGACAATAACAACAATAACGTTAATAACGAAAATAATGACAACACTAATGATAATAAGGATAATAACGTTAATAGCAAAAATAATTTGTATATTTATAATAATAAAGATAAGAGCGATAATAACTATAATAAATAAAATAACGATAATATCAATAATAATCATAATAATTACGATGACAATTAAAATAACGATAATAAATATAATAGTGCTAATAACAATAATACTAACGATAGTACTAATAATAACAAAAATATTGACGATAATATTAAAAATAACTATATTAAGGCTAATACCGATAATAACGTTAACAACATTAATAATAATGATAATAATAATAGTAACGATAACATCGACAATAATAAAATTAATTGTAATAATGATAATAATAATAGTAACGATAAGATCGACAATAATAAAAATAATTGTAATAATGATAAAAAAATTAATATAATAATAATAACCATAATAATAAAAATAACACCAAAAACGATAATAACGATAATGACGATGATGTTGATATGAACGATAATAATGATAATAATACTGATAATAATAATTATAACTATGAGAACGATAATAACGATAATAAGAACGATAATAAGGTTTATAACGATAATTATTACGATAATAATAATATTAATAATAATAATAATAATAATAATAAAAATAATAATATCGATAACAATAAAAATAACTATAATAAAGAAAATAATTTTAATAGCGATAACAAAGATAACAACAATAGCAATGGTAATAACGTTATTAACATTAATAATAACGAATATGTCCATAATTACGATAACAACGATAATAATAAATATAATAATAATAATAACGATAACAGCGATAAAAATAGTTATAATAATAATAATAATAAAATAATAATGAAAATAATAATAACGATGATGATAAATATAACGATAATGACGATGATAACGATATTAACGATAAAATAGTTAATAACAATAATAATACCGATAATAATAGTGGCAAAAAAAACAGCGACAAAAATAAAGGTACTATTAACAATAATAATTACTTTATTAATAACGATAATAATTCAAAAAACAGAATGCCAATAATAATAATAATAATAATAATAATAATAATAATAATAATAATAATAATAATAATAATAATAATAATAATAATAATATTAATATTAATAATAATAATAATAATAAAACGATAATAATAATAATAATATTATTAATAATAATAGGAACGATAATAATATAAATAACGATATTAAATATAATAAAAGTAATAATAACGATAAAAACGATAATTACGGGATTAGCGATAAAAAGAACGATAATAACGATAATAACGATAATAAGGATAATACTGATAATAACGTTAATAACGGTAATTATAACGGTAATAGTAAAATAGTGATTGTAACAACGACGATATTAACAATAATAATTAACACCGTAACAATATTTACGATAAAAACAATGAAAACGATAATAACGTCAATAATATTAATAACGACAATAAAAACGATAATAGTAATAATTAAGATACTAGCGATAATAACGGTAATAATGACGATCATAAAATTAATAACGAAAATAAAGGTAATATCTTTAATATCGTTCATAACAATAATAATAACAACAACAATAGTAGTAATCATAACAGCGGCGATAATAACAGTAATAGTAACCATTATAATAGTAATAATAATAATAATAATAATAATAAGAAAGATAATTGTAAATATAAAAATAATAAATATAATAACAATAATAAATATAATAACGACAATATCGGTGATAACGATAATAACAAGAATAATAATGATAATAATAAAAATAACGATAGTTACGAAAATAATAACGATAATAATAAAGCCAACGATTATAACAATAATAACAATAATTTGGATAATAAAGATAATAATCATAATAACGATAAAAACGATAATAACGATAAGACCGTTATTAACGATAATTACGACAAAAATTATGATAATTAAAATAATGATAATAAAAGCGTTAAAAATAATAACGATAAAGAAACGATAATAATGATAAAAATAGCGATAATAATGATAATAACTACAATAACGTTAATAACGATAAAAACGATAATAATAGTGATAGTAATGATGATAACTATAATAACGATATTAACTATTAGAACAAGAATAATAACGAACGAAACTATAAACAAAAGATAATAACGATAATAACAATAATAATCTTAATTACGATAGTAACTTGAATGAGGATAATAATAACGATAATAATAATAATTATGATAATAAAGATAATAATGATAATAATAACAGTAATAACGATTCTAATGAAAATATTGATATTAATAACGATAATAACGATAACGGCGGTAATAACAATAATAATATCAAAAACAGTAATATTATTAATAATTGCGTTAATAAAGATATAACGATATTACCGATAATAACGATAATAATGATAATAATAATAATAACGATTGGAACGATAATAACGATAACTTCGGTAATAACGTGAATAACGATAATAATAGCGATAATAATAATAATAACGATAATAAAGATAATAATGATAACAAAAACAATTATAACGTTAATAACGATAATAATAACATTAATAACGAATACAACGATAATAACGGAAATAATAACGATAATTATGATAATAACGTTAAAAACGATGATGACAGTAACAAGGTTAATGACGATAAAAATAACGATAATGAATATAAAAATAACGATTATTACGATAATAACGATAATAACGATAATAACGATAATATTAACAATAATAATAATAAAAATAACGATAATAACTATAATATATTTAATACTAACGATAGTACTAACAATAATAACGAATACAACGATAATAACGGTAATAATAACGATAATTATGATAACGTTAATAACGATAATGACAGTAACAATGTTAATAACGATAATAATAACGATAATGAAGATAAAAATAACGATAATTACGATAATAACGATAATAACGATAATATTAACGATAATAATAATAATAATAACGATAATAACTTTAATATATGTAATAATAACGATAATAAAAGCTATAATAACGATAATGAATGTAATAATAACGATAATAATAATAATAACGATATTGAAGATAATAACGATAATAATAACAATAACTACGATTATAACGACAATAACGGTAATAATAACGATAATAACGGTAATAGCGATAATAATAATAATAATAATAATAATAACTATACCAACAATAATAATGATAATTAAAATAATTACGTTAATAACAATAATTACAATTATAACGATAATAATAAAGGCAATAATAATAATAAACGTAATAATAATAACAATATTATAAGTGTAACAATATTATAAATGATAATATTAACGATTAAAACGATAATAACAATAATAACGATAATACCAAAAATAACATTACGATTATAATGATAGTAACGAAAATAATAAAGATAATAACGATAACAACGATAAAAACGTTAATAATGTTAATATCGATAATACTAATTACGATAATGACGATAGTAACGATAATAATAACGATAATAACGATAATTATAACGATGATAACAATAGTAACAATGAAAAAGATAATAACGATAATGTTAATAACGTTAATTACGATAATAACCGTTATAACGTTAATAACTTTAATAATAACGATAAAAATAACGATAATAAAGATAATAACGATAATACCGGTAATAACTTTAATAACGATAGTAACAACAATAACAGGAACGTAGCGATAACACCGAAAAGAATTCTTTTTTTTTTTTGATGATCTGAGACTGCCAATCTTTAAACAATAACCCAGTGGCTCGCCCGCCATAGGAACGCTCCCTATTTGGTTCCCCCATTAATATCCCTGGAGTGTCGCGTTAACCGTTCGAATAGGCACTACCTACTAAACTCATTTCCATCCTAGAGGTATAGTGAAACCATCCCGGCTCCGCCATGTGCCATTACTTCGGGATTGCCCCACTGCAATAGGTTCCTTTACGGGACTCTCCTTTCGGCTCTACGGGGCAGGAGCCTGGAGCAACTTTGTGGGCAGGTCTATGGGCCGTCCATCTACTTCTTTTTTCTGCGCAAGATTATCCTGACGTAACAAGCCACTTTGTTCCACTTCTCCTGACCTCGGAGCATTTTCTCGACAATGTTGTCTGGCAAGATTTTTCCGAGGTCTTGCTCCAGGGCGAGTCATTCGATGCTCCACCTAACACATTTGAAGAATATCTGGTGGGCGTCGTCGACGGTCGAGTCGATATATGAGCAGTTGCCGTCTGCAACTTTCCTCATTTTTGCGAGGAAGAAGCAGAACCTACCATGCCCTATCAAAAATTGGGTGAGGAAGAAGTCGACATCTCCCGCCTCCAGGTTTAGCCAAGTGTCTAGACGACTGATGAGTCGGCTCGTCCATCTGCCTCGAGGCTCCTGTTCCCATCTGCTTTGCCAGGTCTCGATGCTAGTAGACCTGGCGATCCTTGATGCCTCCTCCTTTTCAAGAACAGGCCTTTGCTGGTGGACGAATAATCTCTCGTGGGTTAGTAGATCGATCGGAATTACACCCGCGACCACTTGCACCGCGTGATCTGAGATCTTGCTGTAGGAGCACGCGTTTCGGTGAGCGTCCTTCCTATATTCCGCTGCTATGTGTCTGCGATATTTCTTGTGTCGCAGCGCCTCTGCCCAGACTACCGACCTATACAGTATAACTTCTTCGACGGCGCGCATTAGTCGCCCCCAGGCACGGACAGGGACCATTGACGTTGGCCATGAGAGTGCCAAACGAGGCTACTACTTTTGCCGCATTGTCGGCTGCCCTAATTATATGCTCCCCGAAATTGAGTTTGCTGTCGTGCATTACTCCTAGGTATTAGGACTTAGGTAATATCGATTTAGTCTGGACCGTCGCGTCTCCTACAGTAAAGCTGCGCAAGGTGTTGATGCGCTTCTTCGTATGTAGCACGATCTCAGTCTTCTGGGCTGGTAGGGACAGCCTGTGGCCTGTCATCAAGGAGATGACCCTTCGCATGACCTGGTTGAGCAGCAGCTGTGCTTCCTACGTTTCTCTTGCGGTTATGACACCCGCAATATTATCTGCATACCCCACCATGAAAGCACCCTCAGGGAGTGCCATACGTAGGACACCGTCGTAGAAAATATTCCAAATATCAGGTCTCAATACGGAGTACTGGGCTGCCGATGTCAACTCCAAGCTTCTCGGACCATCGGCTGTATTGTATTCTAGGAAGTGCTCGTTCAGGCTGTCCCCGAGTATTCGGAGTAGGTAATCCGGGTCAATGAAATTACGTTCGAGCGCTCCCATTGCCAAGTCCCACCTGACGAAGTTGAAAGCATTTCTCACGTCTAAGGTGGTCAGCAGACACAAAGGGCGGGATAGGTGATTCCCACGCTCCGTCAATTTAGCGGCCGTGTCAATCTCCTAGACTGCGTGGATGGTAGAGAGACGGGATCGAAACCAATATTAGCGGACAGCAAGATCGCCCTCTGCCCTCACGGCCGTGTACAGCCATGGCCTAAGCAGCTTTTCCAGGAGCTTGCCAGCCGTATCGAGCATACAAATAGGCCTGTATGACGAAGCGCCATCTGCTGAACCCTTGCCCTTGCTTATGAGCACAAATCTCGTTTTCTTCCACCGGTCGGGGAAGATGACTTCACTGGGGCACATGATATACATGATTAGCACGAGCTCAGGGTGACTCTGCGCAATGGCTTTCATTACTTCCGCTAGAAGGCCATCTGGTCCTGGAGCTTTCTTGTTCCGTATGGAAGATGCGGCCTTGACAAACTCCAGCTCCTCCTTCGTTAATTGTGGCACTTCGGTGATGCCAGGCGCAGCAGTGCCCCTCTTCGGCGATGGGGGGAATAGGTTATGAACAATGTTTCCCAATGTCCTCACGTCCTAAGGGATTCCTTGCTTGTGAGTCCTCAACTTGAGAGTGACGATCTGGTACCCTAATCTTCACGGATTCTGGTCGATATCCAGGCACAACTCCTTCCAGCACAGTCGTTGACTGCCCTTGATGGTCCTCTTCAGTGATTTTTGGGCCGCGTAATACTAAATATAATTTGTGCACAGCCATCTATTAATACTAAATATAAAATAAATTGTGGCCAAGAGAGAAGCGTCGAGGTCGCTTCTCTTCGCTCGTTGAGCTAACCGGCGAAGCCTTAAGCACTTTTTGCGAAGGTCTGCGATCTCGTTCTTCCACCAGTATGCAGGACGCCTCTGCTGTTTCGTGCTCTTCTTTGGCACCACTATAGCGCAAGCTTTTGGATTAGCTGCATAGTTGCTTCGGTCATTTACCAGGATCGTGCATTTGGCGATAGTTCGCGGATGAAATTTTATGGGATTTCCAACCTTCATCTATGGTTGCGGACAGCCTCTCTCGATCTTTTTTTGCGACGTTCCACCGAAGGGGTCGCGCTGCGAATGTCACAGTTGGCTTCCTATCGTATACCTTGAATAGGATCTATTGATGATCGCTCCCGGTGTAATCTTCGATCACCTACCAGCCTCCGATCCTTTTAACAAGTTTTCGTTGCCCAAAGAGACGTCCGGGATCGTCTCTCTGTAGCCCGGCCTTCGGAAGGTTGACGTCGTGCCTATGTTGAGCACTGCTAGCTTCAGTCTCGACACCACCTCCATGATTCGTCTTCCTCTGGAGTCCGGACTGACCTTCGCCCATTCGAGAGCTTTGGCATTGAGGTTTCCAGCCACAATGAGATCCCCTTGTATTTCCAGCCGTGCGTCTTACAGATTGTCCAGTTTGGTCTGGAAATCGTTGATCCTATCGTTCGGGGAGAGACATACGATGACATAGGTCACCGAGTTGTGTCTCACTCAAACGTAACCGCGTCCGGATCCTTGATCCGACACATATATCTGTCGGGGATCTGGATTTCAGATAGCCGCGGTATCGAATTCGTCGGTGTATCATTTTGTGCCTGTCCTGTCCTGGTACTGTTCGCTGATTAGAACAACATAGACTCTTTTTTCAGAGCAGAGCTGGGTTAAGAGATTATGTGCCGTCCTCCTTCTATTCAGTTTTCCCTGTAGTACTCTCATCCATCCTTTTTGTTGTTGTTTCAAAGGCCTCCTAGATGGCTGTGCACGCCCTTGATTCGACCACGTGCTTCTTGGGTTCACCACCGCCTTTGGAGCACAAGAAGCTAGTGTGCTCGCTGTCCTTACAGTCTTTGATTATATGCCCCGTGCCGCCGCAGAAGTAGCAAAACTTACTGCGATCAGGTACCTTGCACGAGACGCTATAGTGACCATAGTCGAGACAGCGGAAGCATCTCCTCACTTCTGTTCTTCGCCTGACCCTGCAGCTGCCAAAGCCGACCAGTACTCGTCCAGCCTTTAAAAGCTTCGCAGCTGCTTCCTCTTCTATTTTAACGAATGCTTGGCGTTGTTGTCTCGCGTTGGGGTTTGTCACTCTAACCTCAAGTCTCCCCGCGTAGTCTGGCAGGGTCCTCTTTAGGGCCTCCTCGACTTCTACCAACGATGTGCAGCAGTCACAGTCCCGTATCTCCAGTGTAGCTCTAGGAACCAGTTCCGTGATGCTGCTCGTTTCTCCTACTTCTTTTCTCAGGGTTTCTGCGAATGATGCCCTGCTATCCGCTGTAGTCTTCTTGAGCACGAGCAGAACCCCTCCCATTCTGGTCTACCAGACCGATCTAACGTCTACGTCTGTAGCGCTGGTCTTGATGAGCTGGTGGATAGATCCGACTACTCTACGTAGGTTTTATCTTGCGCAGGTTGCGGAGGATCGCGTCCGACCTCGATGTTCATCTCGTCCTGTCCTCCGCTTTGCTCAACTTCCTTTCCTCCTGCGGTGGGGGTTTCGTCGTCTTCTTCACTGATTTTTCTTTTTTCTTCTTATTTTTAACGACCTCCGTCCACTTGCTGGTTTCGGCCGTCGTCGCCTTTTGCCTCAATCTTTTGAAGCTTTCTTTAGAGAATCGCGGCGGGCTTGTGGCTACTCTCTTGACTGTGCTGCAACAGAATTGGCCACAGAGAGTCTCGGGCGAGGATCTTCGCTCCCTCATCTATCTATTCTCGCGTTTTATAGAAGAATTCTAGGCTGTTAATTATCTCCTCCAGTTCTGCAAGACCTTGTTTAATCGCATTGTTTACGTTCAGCTGCCTATTCACAGGCGCACTCATATTGGCAAGGAGGACTTTCGCCTGTGCAAGTTTCTCTATTTCTCCATCTTGTGGTGACCTCTTCTCAGGCTGAGAGCCTCCGTTATTGTCGCTTTGAGCAGCGATGTCACTTCCAGTTGATATTGAAATGTTTTGTTGTTTTGTTGTTTTTTCTTTGATTCGATTCTCCATTAATTACATTGTTACTCCAGAGTGCCAGGCCGTCTCCGAACACGGTGCCTCAGGATGTGGGTGTGGAAGTGGGGGTGGAAGTGTGGGTGCTCACCCTCGCAACTATCCCCATTGTTGCGAGAACTTTTGGCTATAGGGCGGGAATGAAGCATCTGCCCTTGCCGTTCACTTACTTCCTTCATCGACATCGACACTCCCACGGGTGTTACGCATTGACGCCGGGAGTTTCCACGAGAACTGCGCTTTACGTATCATCCAGCACATCCCTTTCGGACAGCGTCAACGTACCCGCTAGTCCTCGTAGCCCTGCCGTAATCCTGGCTTGGGGCCCTTACAGGGTACTGACATTCGTGCCAGATGAGCCCTGTTTTTTTTAAGTATAGCCGTGGATAATGTAGAACTCGCTAACCGCGTTTACTATTGCTGCCAATGAGGGCGACACTCGTGCACCGGTGGTGCGAAAAATTAGATATAATTCATACCACTACCACCTAGATCATGGTCGACTCCGCAAAGGGCGGTGCATTATTAGTCGTAGTAGTAGATGTCACTTGCGCTGGCAGCGTCACTGCCATCGTAGTCTAGAGTAGATAGCACTGCATGAGTCCTCGGTGGGCTGTATATTGTAAAGGTGGACGCCCGAGGGCGCCTACACCTATGCTACCTCGCCCATTAGGGCATACGCTACGGAACTACCTACAGACAGCAGCCACCACAACGAAGAAAACGGATTCGGAAAAACCCAAAACTCCTGCCGTCGGGCAGGGTGAGCGGTTTAGCCACGACCAACATCCTCGCAGCAACGAATCGCCACGTTGATGCCAGCCGTACCCACGGAGAACTACGGGGAGGCCCACTCACAGTACCACGACCCTTGGGGTACTCGTTCCGTAGGATAGGATGGGATTGGAAGGATGTAAGGTTTAGGGAGAGTGTTGGGTGAGTGTTGAGAAAGAGAAAAAAAAAGAAAAAAAAAGGGAGATGCACACGAGCTTATCCTGTTTGAGAGTGGGTTTACCTGAGATGCTTACAGGCTCTTACCCCCATCACCAGGACTCTGACAATCCCAGCTGAACAGGATTTGCGAAATTAGCAACCCTTAATAAGGAGGGTTTCTTTACAAAACTCGGCGAAAAGGGAGACAGTTGATAATGTGGTGCGAAACCATGTCTTCTTCGTCACACTCGCAGGTTCCTTCCAGTATGACATTGAGTTCCTTCAGTTTGGCCTTAAACGCTCCATGTCCTGAAAGAAACTGAGACGTGAAGTGGTTAGTGGAGATAGAGAGGGCACCCATCCTTTCCTTGATGTCCGGGAAGTATGCATAGATGGTCCTTCCTTTCCTGGAATTCTCTAGTCCTCGGTG